ATTTTCCTAATAAAAGGGGATGGAAATATGTAAAATATGTATAAAATTCACAATGTATTTTGAAATTTTATTTGTTGGATTATTTATAAATCGAGATAAAAAAATTAATTCTATGTTCACAAAGCTATTATGTTAATCAGTTGTATACAGGGTGTTTGCGAAATCGTAGTACAACCAAGGGGATGATTCCTCACATAAAATCTAGTCGTAAATAAGGAATTTATATTATAAGCCCTTTAATATGGGGCGTCATTTTCGAGAAAATTTGAAAATTCGTTAGGTACGTGACTTTAATTAATAATTAGCCAATCCAGGATTACCAGGGATGCTCAAGTGGATGAAAAAAACAGCATCTGCAGATGCGCTTTCACTTCGGTCAGTTAGGACTACTATTCAGATTGTCAATAAACGCAGTTTTGATCAACATTTGTTTTAGTATTTCTTACATTCATATAATAATTGAAATATTTAAGACAGTAATTATACAAGTTTTATACATCCATGTTGTTCAATAACGTGAAGGCTGAATAAGACCTCTTTATGATCTGCAATACATATCGTCATTCGTATTTTTTATATAGAGTAATCACAATTTTCTACGTACCACGATAAAAGTTTGCAAAGATAACACGTAGAACACGCCAGCCTTTAGAACCAACGGCTGTCTACTAAATGTCATCGACAGCGTGAATGTTTGTAAAATACTTTGTAAATTTTCATAATGCCAATCCGAGAGCCACAAGCTTCTGTCCACCACTGTACTCTGGAGAATTGTTTAATTAAAATACGTAAAACTCGTAATTCATTAATTAATTCATCTTACCGCGTAACTCAATTCGTTCCCGATCCAACAAGCATAGAAGAGCTGAGACACCGCGGCGCTTAGGTAGACACCGAACTTGAAAATATCCGAGCTTTGCCCTCCGACCTATTTACCCGTGGAAATTGATCACGATCTAACTAATGGCTTCGATCATCGTATCACCGCTTACCACCACAGCCTGGAAACCGGTCAGGCAAATCATCGAGGTGCTCGACAACATCTGAACGAACATACTCGAGCTATAGATCCTGTTGTAATCGTTGGTCATAGACACTAATCTCTGATGAAATTGGATGCACGTCTTGTAACGACGATGGAACTTGTTATTCAATTTTCTCTCGTACCCTTCACAAAATTTATCTGTCTGATACAAAAACAAAGATTGTAGAATTGAATATCAGAGATTCGATGAGATACTCTTACATTCTCGTTTCTGCTTGTACAGTTCTCGAAATTAGCGTTTAGAACGTTAAACAATGTAGTGATTAGACTGCATTTTAGTGTAGTTAGACTGTCCATGGCGACTATGCTCAACAGGCCACCTAAAACGGTGCAGGTTTCCACTCCGAAAGCGATCTGCTGCCAAGGTGGTATCGTCGTATTGAACGGGTATCGTGCCCTGATAGGCAATCCGTTCTCCAGTGGCGAAAAGAACAGTAAAGCGATTCCTAAAATAAATCCTAAACCGCTAAACCCGTGGAAGATCACTTTGTTAAGCACATAGTTGTTGCTGATAATTTCCTTCACTCCTTCGGCATCTATAAAAAATACAAGGTGTCCCAAAACTAGTGTAAGATATTGAAATGAGAGATTCTTGACGTAATTTTGAACAACATTTTCCTTAGCGGAAAAGTTGTCCGAGGTGTGGTTGAGGAGTTATTAACAAAAAATCCCTGTCCAATCAGAGCGCTCGGTTGGCGCGAGCTTCGAATCGGAAGCGTTGGCTTAAATCAGGACGCCCGGTTTTCGCTTCGCTCAATACGAAGCG